TAGCACTTCATCGTGTTTGGTTTTGGTTCGGTTGCATTATTTGGCTGGCTGGAAACAAAAGCATTCCATTCCAGGCCAGGTCAGAGGTTCCTCTCTCCTCTTTTCGTTCATGCTCTGTAATATATATACTGTCCAAAAATAAATAAGCGTTGAAAAAAATAAATTTTCCAGGGGTGCCTGGGTGGCTCAACCATTCACTTGAGCATCGACTTTGTTCACCTGGTCATGATCTCCCAGTGTTGTGATTAAGACCCTCATTGGGCTCCATACTGATTATGGAACCTGTGAGATTCATTCTCTCTCTCTCTCTCTCTCTCTCTCTCTCTCTCTCTCCCCCCCCTCCTCCCCCCTTCCCTCTCCCACTCACCAACTTATATAAAATAAAATTTAAAAGTTTTTTAAAAATAAGTAAGTATTCCTAAATGGAATTGTTAAGGTTAAAAAGGGTATATAGATATTTTGGGGAATTTATAAAAGTATTGGTGGTCTTTAGAAAAGTTTTGTCACTTTATACCTTTATCAACAAGATACAGCATATTACTAACACTAGGTATTTTCCACTTAAAAAATATTTTCCAACTTGATAAATTAAAATTCAATTATTAATATATTACCTTTCTTTGATTGATTACTAATGAGGCTGAATTTTTCATACCATTCGGCCTTTTTATTTCATTTTAATAACTTTTTGCCTTTTCATGTCTTTTGCTCATTTCTGTTGTTATTTTATAACAAATACAAAAATATTAAAGTTTTTGTTTATAATGAAGCTATTAAAATATATATAAAATAAAAATATCTAAACTACATACGTTCAGCATAATAATAAAATTCACTTTCATAATTCACATGACCCATATTTAATATTGGGTACATATCCATTCTCCTCTTTCTCCCTTTCCTTCTCTTTTCCAGGCTCTTTCTCCTCCCCTATTCCTCCTGCCAAAGATATATGCTAAATGGTATCATATTATATAGATTTGTGATGCACACTTTTTCACTAACAATATACCATGCAGTAAACATGCATGTTTTCCTCTTTTTAATTTAATTTTTTTAATTTACATCCAAGATAGTTAGCATATAGTGCAACAATGATTTCAAGTAGATTCCTTAAATGCCCCTTACCCATTTAGCCCATCCCCCTCCCCACAACCCTTCAGTAGCCTCTGTTTGTTCTTCTGTTTTTTTTTTCAATGTATTTTGGGACAGAGCATAACGGGGGGAGGGCAGAGAAAGGAGAACACAGAATCAGAAACAGGCTCCAGGCTCTGAGCCACTCAGCCAGAGCTTAGCGGGCTTTCGAACTCGGACCCATGGTCGTGACCCTGGCTGAAGTCGTGCAGCAACAGACTCGCCATGCCAAGCCTATTTCTCCATATTTAAGAGTCTCTTATGTTTTGTCCCCCTCCCCTGTTTTTATATTATTTTGCTTCCCTTCCATTGCATCTGTTCTGTGTCTTAAAGTCCTCATTGTTGTCTTTCTCTGTTGGCACCCAGCATAATATCCTCGGTTCATCCATGTAGTTACCTGCCAATACATGGGATTTCATTCTTTTTTGATTGCTGAGTAATACTCCTGTGTGTGTGTGTGTGTGTGTGTGTATCGTGTCTATATATATGTATATATACGCACACACACACCACCCCACTGCCTTATCCATTCATTCATTGTTGATGGACATTTGTTTCCATACTTTGGCTATTTGTTGATAGTGCTGCTATAAACATTGGGGTATTTCAAACAGCACCTGTATCCCACTTGGATAAATACCTAGTAGTGCACAATTGCTGGGTCATAGGGTAGTTCTATTTTTAATTTTTGAGGGGACCTCCATGCCATTTTTTCCCACAGTGGCTGCAGTTTGCATTCCCACCTGCAAAAAGGGTCTGTTTCATCCTTGCCAACATCTGTTGTTTGCCTGACTTGTTAATGTTAGCCATTCTGACAGGTGGTGGAGGTATCTCATTGTGGTTTTTGATTTGTTGTTGCACTATATGCTAACTATCTTGGATGTAAATTAAAAAAATTAAATTAAAAAAAGAGGAAAAAAACCATGCATACTTACTGGCATGGAAATATATTGTTAGGTGAAAAAGTGTATCACAAATCTATATAATATGATACCATTTAGCATAATATATCTTTTGGTGCAGGGAGGAATAGGAGGAGAAAGAGTCGGGAGAGAAGGAAAGGGAGAAAGAGGAGTGAATGGATATGTACCAATATTAAATATGGGTCATGGAATTATGAGTGAATTTCATATTAAGGTTTTTGAATGTATGTAGTTTAGATATTTTTATTTTATATATATTTTTAATAGCTTCATTATTAAATATAAAAAACTTTAATATTTTTTGTATTTGTTATAAAATAACAACAGAAATGAGCAAAAGACATGAAAAGGCAAGTTGGCTAAAATGAAATAAAAAAGGCTGAATGGTATGAAAAAATTCAGCCTCATTAGTAATCAAAGAAATGCAATATACATAATACTGAATTTTTAATTTATCAAGTTGGAAAATATTTTTAAGTGGAAAATACCTAGTGTTAGTAATATGCTGTATCTTGTTGATAAAGGTATAAAGTGACAAAACTTTTCTAAAGACCAACTCAATAATTTTTATAAATTCCCCCCAAAATATCTATACCCTTTTAACCTAACAATTCCATTTAGGAATACTTACTTATTTACTTATTTTTAAAAAACTTTTAAATTTTATTTTAGAGAGAGAAAGCAGGAGTGTGGGAGAGGGGCGGGGGGGGAGGGAGGGGGGGAGAGAGAGAGAGAGAGAGAGAGAGAGAGAGAGAGAGAGAGAGAGAGAGAGAGAGAGAGAGAGAGAATGAATCTCAAGCAGGTTCCATAATCAGTATGGAGCCCAATGAGGGTCTCATTCCCACAACACTGGGATCATGACCTGTGGTGAAATCAAAAGTCGGATGCTCAAGTGAATGAGCCACCCAGGTACCCCTTGGAAAATTTATTTTTTTTTCAACGTTTATTTTATTTTTGGGACAGAGAGAGACAGAGCATGAACGGGGGAGGGGCAGAGAGAGGGAGACACAGAATCGGAAACAGGCTCCAGGCTCTGAGCCATCAGCCCAGAGCCCGACGCGGGGCTCGAACTCACGGACCGCGAGATCGTGACCTGGCTGAAGTCGGACGCTTAACCGACTGCGCCACCCAGGCGCCCCTGGAAAATTTATTTTAATGAAAAAAGTAGTGAGTGTTACAACTGTTTAGCTGCAACTATTGTTTTGGAAAGCAATCCATCAAAATTTTGGAGTGTATGGTAATTAAGACTTAATCCAATGGAGCTAATCTTAATGTCTAACATGTATGTAACAATATATGAAATAGACCATACAATATATACCAACTTTTTTAATAGTGTCTTATTCTGAGTGTTAGAATTAAAATTTATTTTCTTCTTTTTACCCATGTTTTCTAAACTGTCTCTAATGGACAATAAATTATTGTTTGAAATGGAAAACAAAGTTATTTAAAAATAATCTAATAGGCTGCCCAATAAATAGCTTAGATTTCTACTTCACTGAATTCTTTTTTAAAAAAATTTTGATGTTTATTTATTTCTGAAAGAAAGAGCACAAGTGGGGGAGTTACAGAGAGGGAAACATAGAATCCGAAGCAGGCTCCAGACTCTGAGCTGTCAATATAGAGAGCCCGAAGTGGGGCTTGAACTATGAACCAAGAGATCATGACCTGAGCAGAAGTCAGATGCTTAACTCACTGAGCCACCCAGGTGCCCCACTACCTTCACTGAGCTCTAAACCACATATCCAATATTTAGATAAATACTTCAACCAACATGCACGCAGTTGAGTCAGTTATACTAGCAAGAAGCACCAAAAACTGTAGCCTCTCCCTCCCTTGGTACTAAGCACAAACTATGTATTGGGTATTGTGTCATTATATAAGCTGGGAATAAAAAGAAGAGAGGGGCCTAGATTTTTGGCTTAAACATGAGACTAGTGGCAAGAAACACACATGTAAACTCAAAACTACAAATCAAGGTACATTTGAGAGTGCCAAGGAAAGGGAAAGATGATTCTAATTTATCTATACCAGTCATCCACAATTTGCTCTTCTTTCTCTCTCTGATTTATTACTGAACCATCAAGATCATAAAACAACAAAATTCACAATATATATTCCTACATTCTGTATAAATAAGTCCTACTTATTCTTCAGATCCAGCTCACATGTTACTTCACCTTTGTTTCTGGGGGTAAAAATACTTCTCTTGATATTTTATGACTATGGATTCAGTCTAAGAGGGCAGAGAATAAGTCTAATCCACCTTGGTACCCCTACATCAAGATGGCATCCAATGGATATGCATCATCAATTTTTTAAGCTTTGTTTAAGTGTTAAATGTTACTGGCAAAGGAATCTTAAGAAGTCGTACCTGGTTGGGTTCCTTTTGTCTTCCTCAGAGATCAAAAACCAAACAAAATCTGCATAGCTCATTCTTCCCTCTTTCTGTACTGTTTTTCCCCTGAAGAAAACATATCATTATCAAGTTTCCTGAGCAATTACTCGGATGAATTTAGTAGGATGACAGACTAAGAAATAAAGCAACACCTTCTTTGGAAATTAAGTTAAAAAAATTAGAAGGCTATAACTAAAATTTAAATAAAAAGTAAAAAAAAAAAATTAGAAGGCTGGAAATCTTACAAAGGTTACAAAACCTATCCTGTTTTCAAAGGCCTAGAAGGGTGAAACCAGAAGACATTTGCTGGTATGAAAAAAGAAGTCTCGTTTCTAATTTGAATGCAAATAATCACCAGGATCAAATACCTTTACCTATACTTAGGTAAAGGATTAATGTCTGTATATAAAGAATTACTGCTGTCTTGTATGAAGCCATGACATACATGTCATACATGACATGTATGAAGCTGTGCTAAAATGAGATTGTTAAAGTATTACCTGTAATTCATTTTTAAACTCAGATGCTTTTTCTTACCTTGTTACTGCCCCAGAAAATATCCTTTCAATAATTCTGTTTGATGAAGCTAAATGTAAATAAGAAAGTACAAAGCTAGTTAGGAACATGTTCCATAAAGGCAATACTTTGGGCAAATTTATTTTCAGTAGCTATGAGCTAAAACATAGTAATCTTCTATAACAAGAATATGAATATTTAAATTTTTACTTATGTATAATTTATATTTTTGAAAGTAAGAATTTGAAGTGGCATAATCAATCATTAAAAAAAAAGAATAGGCAAATGATTATGCCTGACAGCTGTGATGTATTAATATAGTTGAGCATCCTAACAACTAAGACAAAAACGTATAGGATTTATATTGATCTTGTATCTAAGACAATTTTCCTCTAAAACAAGACAAATTTTATCCTCGTATTAAATTCAAGGGGACTGATCAGCAACTCCTAAGATAAGGGACTCTGAGTACAACAATGGAGAATGCTTTCAAGTAGAATTTTATAGAAGATACCTAAACATACCACAAACATACTTTTCATATATTCTTATTCCATAACAGTCCAGGACATAACATACAATTTTATCTTAAGATAGCATGTTGCTTTTGATGGTAGATCCTAGAGAATATATAGCAGTGTACCTCATTGTTGGTTCAAAATAACCAAAGCCTTTAGTTTTACCAAAAGGCTATGTCAATAGATCTCAGACCTAGGGATTTGGTGAGGACAGAATCTGTTGTTTTAAGAAGTGCCCCAGGCAATAGCATGTACACTAAAATTTCCAAATAAGTGATGAAGTTATTAGACAGTAGCTATCAGCATCTAATTCTTCTGCACACAGTTAGGTATAGTCAACCTAAAGGTAAAATTAATTTGGCTGAAGAATGTTGGGAATATGGGTGTCAGTAGAGCCATGCCTGGCCACAAAGCTTATATAAGGACCCTCTAGACTTTGGTGAACATTGGTTTATAATAATTTGTACTATACAAACAGAGGGCTGTATAGGAAAGGCATGGACATTTAATCCCAAAGCTAAAGTCTTTTTTACATTTGGAAGGTTTACCCTAAAATTGAAGATCATGTTGTCCCATTTAGGACAGGCTGATGGATTGCCAATTATGTAGTTTTGATGGGCTCTTCATCATGAAGGCTTAGATGCCTACTTATTTGGACATCATCACTTTAATATACCCTCTATTGGATTGTTATGTGTATATATACATTTTGGAACCTAATGAGAATTATGATTGTATCAGCTGGAGAGAGGTTTGTATGACCTCATGTTACACAGATGATCTGGCCACCGGTGATTAGAAGGTACACGGCTAATAAAGCTGACCCGATATGCCTGTGAATATCTCCATCTTTATGCTATTCTGGTGACAGCAAGATTATGACTACTTGAAAAAGGGAGGTATAGTACTAAAATGCTTGTTCATCAATAAGTACATCTGAGTATTTTCTCTTGATATCTGGTTGGCACCTGAGAATAGAGAGGAAGGACTCTTTTTTATATATGGAAAGTTCTATGATACTTAAGATCATATAGAATGAAACTCTTCTTAAGATGCAAACAGTTAATCACAGAGATACCAAATAACAGAAGTGAAATTCAATGTATTTAAGATTTGTACTCTGCTACACCTAAAGGGCTAAAGGCTGATTTAAAATAAATAGCAGTGCCTGAGAAGACATTTAAGAATAGAACAATCTTATGAGAATCTTATGAGACAATCTTATGAGAAAAGAATGAGTCAATGTATCTTGGTGCTTGAGGAAGAATATTTGCAGGTAATAGGTTATAAGTTTACTAACTGGTAAAAATGAAGCAAAATGAGTAGTATCATGTGATGTTTAATATTTTTGTTTTCTGATAAAAGAAAACACACAAAATTCATCTGCGGAGAAAATATCTATTCTGGATCTAAATCCCAAAAGGTAAGTTGTTATTAGTCCTTGAAAACACTGGCATATTATTTCATCCTTGTCTGTTTATAAATACTGTAAAATGGGAAACTTACAGGGTGTACATACACTCTCTTTCAAATAAACTACATAGGAATGGATCTAATTCAACTCATCACTAGAAAATAATCACCACAGAGTGCCTGGGTGGTGCAGTTGGTTAAGCATCCAACTCTCGGCTCAGGTCATAATCTCAATCTCCTGAGTTTGGGCCCCACATGGGGCTCTGCACTGACAGTGCAGAACCTGCTTGGAATTCTCTCTCTCCCCTCTGTCTCTCCCCTGCACGTGCTCTCTCTTTCTCTCCTCTCTCTCCCAAAAACTAAAATAAACATACTAATTAATTAAATTAATCAAAGACAATCAAAACAAAGACTCTAATTGCTTATTTACCTTAAGTCCCTTCTCCTACACTTGCCTTCTAAATGAAAAATCAATACCTTCACTCATTCCCACTTAAAAATTCTTGGCTCTTTAAAGAGGACTTGATGGGGCACCTAGGTGGCTCAGTTGGTTGAGTGTGTGACTTCGGCTCAGGGTGTGAGTTCGAACCCCACATCGGGATCTCTGCTGTCAGTGTGGAGCTGGCTTTGGATCCTCTGTCCCCTCCCTCTTTGTACCTCCCCCACTCGCTCTCAAAAATAAATTAAAAAAAAGTTTTTTTAAAAAAAGGATTAAAGAATTTAAGAAATGGGAATTTCTCATTCATGTAACAATTCAGACAACTCTTGCCTTCTTCAAAATAGTTAAGTCTTAACAACTATAAAACACTCACCCTGGTCATTATATCGAGATAAATCAGCCTGGCTGATGTAGAGGTCATGATCACTATCTAGCTCCCAGAATTTACAATAAATAACATAGAAATGTTCATAGGAGAAGTAATCTGTGATTTGGTTTATATCTTCCTCTTCTTCCAAAAGGGCTAGAGTCTGAAATAAAGTATGAAGAGAAGGATTAATTTATTTTAAAATTATGAAAACCAGCTTTGGCCATTATATAGAGTCTAATGAAGTTTTATTTTAAATTTAATTAAAATTTTTGGTTTTGGTACTAAACCAGGAACTGTAACAGGCACCCTCATCCTACCTTTAATCAACTGACCAATCTATAAACATTTACAAACTCTATATTATGCTTACCAAAGGGATAGATGCTGTGGAGGATTTAAAAGCAGGGAAAGGGAAGGACTGTTACCAAGGAGACTATATCCTGTCAGAGGTCCCCAAACTAGCAAACCAGAACACACAAGAGGCTGAAATAGATGGTCATGAACTGACATTGCTTTTAACTTTCCAAAATTATGAACACTGGGCATCTCCTCTATTATGTAGAGTGGAAGTCTACATACAGGGTTTGGCTTTGTAATGAGATCAAGTTTACTATAAAGGAGACTTATGTATGGTACTGTGCTGATGTGCTGTGGCCTGGTGTGGAAAATATGGGGGATGGAGCTGCAGAGCCCTAGGCTGGAAGTAAACTGGGGTCTCCCCTGATTCACTGTGTACCCTGATGGAAAACACCAGAAACAATAATGCTAAACCCAGGCTTCTTAACAATTCTTACAATTATCATGCAAGTGGGCAGATAAATAGAGATGTTTTCAGAAATGAAAAATTCAGAAAGATATAAGAAACCATAAGGAAACTTAGGAAATAGAAAAAACAAAATGAGATGGCAGAAGTCAGATCAGATATATCAACAATCACAATAAATATAAATGAATAGAGTCTCCATATTAAAGCATTTTCAGATTGAGTATAAAAACCAACCCCCCCCCAAAAAAAACAGATCTAGATATATGCTATCCATAAGAGATAAATAAATTTAAAAGGAAAGTTAAAAAAAAAGACAAATATTTACTAGCTAAATCTTAACAGCAACAACAAAAAAAACATGTCGATATGATTAGAAAATACAGTGGAATTAAAGGTGAAAAACATTATAAGGAACAAAGATAAATATTTCATAGTGCAAATAGATTACTTCGATAAAAAATTATGTTCCAAAATGTAAATACTGGGAAACCAATATGCCCTGACAAGCTGAGAACATAAATTATGAGACTAAAACTACTTAATGGAAGATTCTGCTGCCAGTAAAAATTATAAAGTCTACACAGAAACAAAGGAAAACCATGACATGGTAAAAGCAAAATATGGTATATAAAATTATACACACTAAGAATATGTAAAATCCATTTAATCTGCACATATATATGAGACAAGAAAAACACATACAAAAATGTTATTAGTTGTATTAGGGTGATAAAACAGGAATTTTTTTTGTTTTCCAAACAAGGCTTGTAATGTTTTGTTTTACAAAATGTTCTTTAACATGTATAAAGCAGAATATGTACATTAAAACAAATCTTGAGAAGCAGCTCTCATTTTAACCTACTGGATTGTCATAAAATGAAAAAGATGACTTCTGCTGTTGGTGAATGTGTGTGAACTAGTACAGGTTTTTGGCAGGATCTATCAGACTGAAAATGTACATACCATTTGATCCAGGATTTTCCCTCCAGTAGTCTATTCTAGAAAAATTTTTTTTTAATTTAATTTTTTAATGTTTATTTTTGAGAGAGACAGAGGGTCAGCAGGGGAGGGGCAGAGACAGAGAGGGAGACATAATCCAAAACAGGCTCTAGGCTCTGAGCTGTCAGCACAGAGCCCAACGTGGGGCTCAAACCATGAGATCATGACCTGAGACAAAGTCGGATGCTTAACCGACTGAGTCACTCAGGCACCCCTATTCTAGAAAGATTCTTAACAGGAGGAAAGTACAGGGATATTCACTGCATCTTTCCAAAGAAAAAATATGAAAATGACTTCAACATCTTCTAAAGGGGAGTATGTAATTTAGTTACGGTAGAACCATACCACAGATTATGCAGAAGAATCATAAAAATGAGATAGATTTATATGAATGGAAATGAAAAGAATGTCAAGATATACCGTTAATGGAAAAAAACAAATTAACAGAATAATGATCTCATATATTACAAAACCTCGTAACAGTAGCCATACAAAATAAAACTGTATACTTCATGTAAACATACAAGGGAATAAAACCACAGATAATGTGGGTTCTGTCTGGGAAAAGGAATGAAATGGCAGCGTAAAGAGATAGTGACTTCTGCTGGTTATTCTAGATATGTCACGTACTTGAATGCTTCATGAGCATATACATTACGAGCATACATTCATGAATAATGCACTAATAGGAAGAATAAGGAGAGGGGTAGGGGAGAAGGGGAAAAATTAAACCATGTTCTAGGAAGAACATTTGAGTTCCGTTTCCAATTCAATCACTTACTTGCTGTGTGATCTTACCTGTCATTCAACCGTATCTGAGCCTCAAATTTTATCATCAGTTAAAAAAAATATATATTATAATAATGCTAGAAACTATAAACTCTAATGTGCTTCAGGAATGTGAGGGATTATTCATCATTCTCAAGGTATGAAGCCTTTTTATGGAATTACTGCCATTTTGACCCATCCCATATTACCTGCTGAGAGAGGCAGGCACCAGGTGTTCAATAAATATTAACAATCACTGTGATGATTACTATTCATTTTAGAATAAAAAAGGTGTGTATATGTATTATGGGCTGCTCATTTTGCCAAGTCTTCATTACTTTGTCTGTCTCAGATGAAGACATGGAAAAATAAAAGAGTACATAAGGTGGTATTATTACCCTAAGCTTCATTTAGTATGATTCATTGAAAATAAAATATTTCCTTTCAACCATGAACCATTCTTTAGATTAACAGAAGCTTCCACAGTCAGGCATGAAGATTACCTCAGTAAAAGGCTCCCACTAGTGGTCAACACTTTCATAGTAGGTAAAATAAATAAAAAAATTGAATGAAATGTGTCTTTCTTAAAAGAATTTTTAATATTTTTCTCCACTCCAGTAAGAGCTGGATAAAGACTCATTGTCAAAAGGATCACGTTAAAATCCCTCTATTCCTTTTGCAAGGTCTTTCCTAACCCAGCCTGCCAGGCTGCATCACTGGTCAGTCTCTGCAGAGCCACCAGCCAGTAGACTGTTCCGTTTGAGACTTGAGACACTTTCATGCTTATGGGCCTTTGCTTATACTGCTCCCTCTATCTGGAATCCCCTTCTAATTTTTTATTTTGATAAACTCCCAATATCCTCCAAGGTCAAGATCACATGTCAGTCCTGTGAGGCCTTCTATGCATATTTGTTATCCATTTCTGTGAAAATTTTCCTCAGGTGTGACTGTGTGCTTTTCTTTTACTCCACATGCCTCGATACAAAAATCTCTGGTTATTCACCTTTGTTACCCCCAACACATCTCAGGTTATCTGATAAATGCTTAATGACTGAAAGTAGTGAAAGTGCTTTGCATGCAGTAAGCGCTCAAATACTTGTTAAATGAACTAATAGTATTATTTAAACTGCTCGTTTTTTAGGTTTATTTATTTTGAGAGAGAGAGAGCATGCATGTGCGAGCAAGCAGGGAAAGGGCGGGGTGGGGGAGAGAGGGGGACAGAGAGCGAGAGTGAGAGCGAGAGAGAAACCCAAGCAGGCCCCATGCTCAGCACAGAGCTCAACATGGGGCTCAGTCCCACGACCGTGAGATCATGACCTGAGCCAGTATCAAGTCTTGGACACTTAACTGAGTCACCCAGGCTCCCCTTAATTGCTTTTATACATGAATTCCAATGAGAGACCTACTTGCAAAAAGTTGCTTTTTCTTATTTCTGTCGAAGTTATTTTTCCACTCCAAGATCTGTTGACTGTGTAGAATATTCTCTGAATAACCTGGATCCAAAAGGAAAACAAACCAAATAAAAAAATTGAAGATAACTATTACTTTACCAAAAGCCATCTTATGAATGTACCTTGAACAAAAAGCTGTGTTTTGGTTTTCTGATTATGTCAAGCGTAATTTCTAATAAAAATTAACACTGTATTTTAAAAACTAGAACCATGTAATTTACATCTGCCCCTATAATTCCAAGAAGAATAAAAAGATATTCTTTGTTCATAAGTCTGCATTCCAGCTGCCTATATGTCACTTTATTTAACTCTCATACATTGATGCCTGATTCAAGCAGTGCTTACTGGGCTGGATGTTTTGGGAAGGTAAATGAGGTAGGAAATACACACTGGGTTGGCTTAACAATTGGTGGGTCAGAAGAATGGCTCCCAACATAGTCTGATTCAAGAGGGCATTATTCTAGTTATTTTAGCCTTATTCACTAGAATCTTAAAGACTTCCAGTCTTCCAGCCTCTCTCTGGAAACTCAAATACATCTGGGATATCTCCTACCAAGTCCATGCTTGGCCATGAACAATTCTGTTATTAGCTAGGGTTTTAAAAGAGCTTAACAACAGATGGGAAGCTCTGGAGAAGACCGTGGACAGGACGAGAGAGGAGGGAATGGACTGCAAATGTGTTTGAGATTGACAACGTGTGTGTTGTGGTACAGGAGAGTACTGGAGAAGGAAGACAAAGCTGCCATCCTGGAGGGAGGAGGCCACAGTGTATTCCTAACAATTTTACCTGGGGTTATGCCCACCCATTTAATTTCCCTTTGACTTTTTTTTTTTTTTACTTTTTTGTTTTTTTTTCTTTTCTCAAAAAAAAAAAAAGGCAGCAAGAGCAACTTGAATAGTTTTTGACACTTTGCCTTTGATTTTGATTGTCAAATAAAACAGAAATCCTGTATCATTGGCGGTTTTATCATGGAAAAGATTAGATCCTTTTTAAAAGTTATTTGGTGCAAGAAGAACAAAAAAGGGAAGACATTTGGACATCTACACAAATAGGCGTAATGGGGGACTACACCACCATTCCCCTTCTGGATTCTTTAGCAAAGACAGTGATTCTCGAACAGAGCAGGGAAATACCAGCCTCAGAATGAAGGCCCAAATTTCTGTTGCCCAGCTTTCCTTATCCTACTCCTGCTATCAGTGCTAACTCCTGACCCTTCAAAATCTAGCTCAACTTGCCAACTCCACAGGAAGCCCTAAAACAGGGACTAGGGTAGAGAGAGCTCTGTCTTCTGTGCTCCAATTGTCATGCGAGTCTCCTTCCGTTCTTCCTGTGGTTATATTCTAAACACACTGGTGTGGTCAGACACCTATCATCACCTCCAAACTCCAAAGTACCAGGTCTTTCTTGACTTGCATCCCAGTGCCTGATAATGGTGCTTTGCATATATCAGATAGCTAATAGTTGCTTGATACATTTTTTATTTGAGGAATAATTGACATACATTAGTTTCAGGTATACATGATTACATATATTTATATACTGCAAAATGATCACCATATATAGTTACAGAATTTTTTTCTTGTGATAAGAACTCTTTACTCTCTTAGCAACTTTCAAATATGCAATATATTTGTATTTTTGTGCTGCATATTATTAACTATATATAGTATATACAGTATTAACTATAGTCATCATGCTGTACTTTATATTCCCATGACTTATTTACTCTATAACTGGAAGTTTGTACCTTTTAACTCCCTCTTCACCCATTTTGCCCCACCTACCCCCTGCCTTTGGAAACCACCAATCTGTTTTCTATATCTATGAGCTTAACTTTGTTTTTTTTTGTGTGTTTTTTTGGATTCCACATATAAGAGAGATCATACAGTATCTGTCTCTGACTGACTTATTTCACTTAGCGTAATATTTTCAGAGTTGATCTGTGTTGTTGCAGATGGCAAGATTTCATGAGTTAAGGGTGCCAACCCTGGCCATGTGTGCAGTTGAAATTCCACATATACCTTTTGACTCCCCCAAAACTTAACTACTAATAGCTTACTGTTGACTAGAAGCCTTACAAATAACAAAAACAGCTGATTAACATATATTCTGTACATGGTATATGTACTGTATAACTGTATTCTTACAATAAAGCTAGAGAAAATATTAAGAAAATCATAAGAAAGAGAAAATATATTTACAGTGCTATAAAGAAAATCTGCATATAAATGGACCCATGCCGTTCAAACCCATGTTGTTCAAGGGTCAACTGTATGTATATACCTCATCTTCTTTATCCATCCACTGAGGAACACTTAGGTTGTTTCCATATTGTGGCTACTGTAAATAATGTTGCAATGAACATGGGGTGCATTTATCTTTTTGAGTTGGTATCTTTTTTTCTTCAGATAAATACCCTGCAGTAAAATTGCTGGATCATACAGTGGTTGTATTTTTAATTTTTTGAAGAATCTCATACAGTCTTCCATAGTGGGTGAACAAATTTACATCCACACCAACAGTGCACAAGGGTTCCTTTTTTTCTACATCCTTGCCAACACTTGTTATTTTCCTGTCTTTTTGTTATTAGTCATTCTAACAGGTGTGAGGTGACATCTCATTGTGGTTTTGATTTGCATTTCCCTGATGATTAGTGCTGTTGAGCACCTTTTCATGTACCTGTTGGCCATCTGTATGTCTTCCTTAGAAAACTGCTTGATAAATTAATGAGGTTTGAGAGTTGTGTAACAAAGACTTTCATATTGTACCTGTGATAAAGACATATGGGTTGGATTTGTAGCTAGTTGAATAACTCTAGTCAGCATTGTAAGTAGCAGATGGATGCCAACCCAAGAAAGGTCTCTAATTAGTATTTCATATAAATCCGTACTGTTGTTTGTGACTTACAGATAGATAGATGGCATATAAAGTGTACAGAAAACATAAAACAGAGAAGGGTAACTATATTCAAAATTATTGTAAAGGATACTATTAATTTAGTAATTTTTACTCTGGAGGAAAAAGTAAGACTAGAGTGTACCTGTGACCATGATCTGAATGGCTGACTATCAGGTGGGAGATTTGTCTCTGTGTTGCACCAGAAGCACAACTAAAACTACTGGATACTCCTTATACTAAAATGCTTTAAAATAAGCAAGAATTTCCTAAAATTAGCCCTATGAAGCAATGGGTTGTATAAAGTAGTAAGGTTTCTTCTCACCACAATTATTTAAAACAGGATTCCTGCATTAGATTCAAGCTAGGACTAGCTGGTATGTAATTTCTCTATTGGCTCCAATCATTCAGAATCGGACTTGAGGTGCTTCAGGGCAGAAAATGTGGCTTACTCAACAATGCATTCTTAACACTAGCTTGGCAAAAGTTCATATAAAAAAGATGGAGGCTTTTTAGCACAGAAATTATATATATGAAAATAAACATTAAGAATACCATTTATCATAGTTCCATGACTCCTCTCTCAAGTAAAAGTCAATTTCCATACATATTACACCAAAGTTTTATGTGTTGATTATATTTTTATCCTTATTATTTGATTTTGATTATAAATTTTCTTAACGTTTGAGTTTCCTACCAGTATTTTGTATTTATATACTCTTCAAATATATTATTTTGGGATGTACTGTGTTACACTTAAAATCATAAAGTTTTGACCTGTATTTATTTTTGCTTATTATTCATTTTTTAAAGAATTTTTAAAATTAATGTTTTGACTGTTAAGCATTTCCTATTTTTAGCCCCTAACTTATCTAATAATATTAAAAAATGTATTCCTTTTCCATAGTCTAAATCTCTTTATTCAGTTGCCCCACTTCATCAGCACGTTTATTGGTTTCCACATTACTGATTCAGCATTTTAGCTTATTTAGGTAAGGATACCATCTAGTGGTGAGAACATGTAGCTGCTTGGTTCTACATCAATTACCCTTTTTCTTCCCCCTAATTTTGTTCTACAACTCTTAGGTAAATAAAAAATAAATGAATCCCAACTTTAAAAATAGTAAACAAAATTTAAAAATTAATAATAGTAAAAATAATTGTTTATTAGCAGTGAGCGGAATGAAATTCGACAAATTTTTTTTTACCAAGGGATCTCCAGTTAACTTGATAGTTTGACTCTTAAATCAGTTTCCTTTCTTTTGCTTTGTATCTATTGAGCTGGAAACCTCTAATTTACAAGTATAGGTCACCAGGAATGCAAGTAAGTGTGTGGTGGCTCTATCAGACAGGTTTTGACAAGTGGATTGGATGAAGACAAAGAAATTAGAGATTGCTCATTGTAGGTAACCTAAATGCAGATGAACAGACTCAAATGCTGGAAGCATGATTCTTCTACCCGACAGGAAGTGGTGAAAAGATTCTTAATCCACTCTGGTTAATACGGCTCTGAAAAGTATTTCTTCATGGTCTTCTGCAGAATGTGTACTTAAAAAAAATCTAATACACATTTCTTCCTTTCTCTGTCAAGAGGAGAAGTTCTCAAGGGGAAAGAGGCAAGCTGTTAGTAATCAGCAGTCTCCACCACAATTTAGTCATCTTAGGAAATATCAGTACATTGTCCTCAGCAATTAAAATCCTGGCATTTTGGTCTGAAGTGATGGCTTCAGGCCAATCAAGACATTGAATACATCGCTAAGACATCATCAGAGGAAGCCAGAGAATGTCTTTGCTGCCAGCACCAATATCACAAAGAAGTATTTTCAATCTCATTGCTTATTTTTCAACGTTTATTTATTTTTGGGACAGAGAAAGAGCATGAACGGGGGAGGGGCAGAGAGAGAGGGAGACACAGAATCGGAAACAGGCTCCAGGATCTGAGCCATCAGCCCAGAGCCTGACGCGGGGCTCGAACTCACGGACCGCGAGATCGTGACCTGGCTGAAGTCGGACGTTTAACCGACTGCGCCACCCAGGCGCCCCTCTCACTGCTTATTTTAAAAACTCCTATGAGCACCTCTTCCCTCAGAAGTCAGCATATGCCAGTTAGGATAAGCAGTATCTTTTATTCACTGGCAATTTCTTTGCATGGCATGTGAAACTGCAAACTCAAGACTGTAAGTTGCTAGTATTTCCAATTTTCATTTCCATTCACTTTCAAGAGACTTATTTTTCAAATGCTAACTTGTCTCTGGAAATAAAGAAGAATACGGAGTAATTTTGGGTGCATTCTCTTGAGTAGTGATGTTCTTTTTGCTGTATGCATAGTTGGTGCTCTCTCCTTCCGTCTAAAAACAGCTGGCAAAATAATTAACTAAACAAATGAAAAGTCTTTTCCTATAGCACAGGTTTTTAGTGATAAATAGAAATAAAAAGTTGACCAATTTTTCTTCATCATATGAGTGCCACACATAAGCTAATATTTGAGTCATACTTTGTGTCAGTTTCCTCCAACTAAACAAAGTAAAATAACTGAATAATTCTGACACGCAAACAAAAGAATATACTAATTGTTCTACATCATATGGCACTGAGATTATATAACATTCAATAAATTAATTTAGATTTTTCTGAGATATGTCTTAAATTTCAAGCTTGATCTTCCTAGTATCTTAGAAATAGCATGATCTGATCAGTTTTTGCTACGAGCAGGATGGAGAATGATGCCTCTCTCATTCACTTTTATGCCGTTAACAACATTTCATTAATTTCATACTAGAAAACCTATTTTGCATTTCTTCTAGAAAAACTCACTGTACTCTGAAGTAATGCTTAAGTTCCAATGACTTCATGCCATTATTTGACCAGATTTCCCAATAGAAAAGGCACTGGGGAGAATAGATAACCAGTCCTTTAATAAAATTCTGTTTCCAGATATTCATGTGATACATTTTACATGCATTTTCTTTCTTTATTTAATTTTTAAAAATGTTTATTTATTTTGAGAGAGAGCGAGCGAGTGAGCATGAGTGGGGAAGAGCAGAGAGGCAGAGAGAGAGAGAGAGAGAGAGAGAGAGATAGGGAGGGAGGGAATCCCAAGCAGGCTCCACACTGTCAGTGCAGAGCCTGTAGCAGGGCTCTAAACTACCCAGGCGCCCTGCATTTTCCTTTTTTAGATGGCACTATGAAGTTATCATAATAGATGCACTTATCTTAGTACACAGAGATTCATATTCTACAGTCTCAGTTGGATCTTGTTTACTATTTATGATATGATGCTGTTTTGAATCACCCTGTTATCATTATTTCATCACAATTGTTTTAGACTTTTGTAATTTTTTTTTTTAATTCTTTATTTTTTAAATTTATTTTTTGTCAGAGAGAGACAGAGCGTGAGCAGGGGAGGGGCAGAGAGAGAGAGAGACAGAAACAAAGAATCTGAAGCAGGCTCCAGGCTCTGAGCTGTCAGCACAGCCGAATCAACTGAGCCATCCAGGCGCCCCAGTATTTCTGAGTAATGATGGATTTAGTTTTGTGAATTGGGGATAAAGAAGCATAATAATAACAGAGTATAAATTTTAAAGATATAAATAATATGCAAATGCCATGAAAATGTGTGAGCAGAGATAATTAATTGTATTCTGTTAAGTGACCAATTTAGTTCTCTTTGTTCAATGATTAACATGACAGAATTTCTAGGAAAATATGAATTATATGTGAACAAAACTGTTTCGTGGCTTTTTATTCTGAAATTATAAAACTTCCTGGAGACCACTTGCTAGATGACCACAGACCATCATGGGTCCAAGGATCATACTTCAACAAATAGAAGGTGTAGGGAAAGAAAATTTATCTCTATTTTACAATTCTATTATTTAAACATCTTTTCTAAGAATAAATTCCAATAAAGAGTTCTTCTGTAGACAGAATTTTCTGAATTGGTAGAAGGTTGAGCTGGATTATCTCTAAGATCTTTTCCAGCACTTAAGATTTTAAATTATGCTATTAATATGCCCTGGATTTATAGAACAATCAACAATCAGAACCAATAATTCCCTACGGGATTGAAGCCAGAGTTAATGTGTAGAATTCTTAAGCATATATAATTTCATTTATTCACTCAATAAATACTGTGTATCTAATATGTGCTAGTCCTTATTCTAGGTATTGGAGATTCTGCAGTGAAAGATATAGACAAATTCCCTGCTCTAATGGAGTTTCTACGACAGAGAAGGAGAATTTAAAATTTAAATATCAGATGATATATGAGCTAAGAAGAAAAATAAAGCAGAACAAATGAATAGAGAGAGAGTATAGGGGCGGGGGCAGAGGGAGAAGAAGGGTGAAGAAGAAAAGGCCTCACTAATAAGGGAATATCTGAGCATATAGCTGCATGAAGTAAAGGAGCAAAGTCATGCAGAAATCTGTAGGAAGACTATTTCAGGCAGAGGAAAGAGTAAGAAAAAGCACCTGAGGCAGTGCAGTTGGTTTGTTCCAGGACACCACTATGGCCAAAGCACAGTAAAGGAGGGGCAGGGTAATAGGAGAGATGAGATTACATATGTTGTAAGGGTGTGTGTGTGTGTGTGTGTGTGTGTGTGTGGCAGGGGTTGGGGGGGGGTATTAGGGAGAGTCTTGGCAAGGAAGAACGTTGGCTTTTACTCTGAGATGGAAACCACTGGAGGGTTTGAACAGAGGAGTGACATGATCTTACATTTTCAAAGAATTACTCTGCTTTGTGGGACTACACTTTAGGGCAACGAAGGTATAAGCAGGAAGGCCAATTAGAAGTAATCCAAGTGAGAAACAAGGGTGACTGTACCAGGGCGACTGTGGTGGCAGGAAGTTAGTACAGTGGTGTGGTTAACAGTCAAAAATAACTTGAGACAGTCTTAGAAGACAGTGACACCTTCTGGCTCAAAGAAAGACTTACAAAGTTTCACAACAGAAGAGAGCCAATGTAAAAGCCAAGAATGAAGTTCCTAAAGGAGAAAAATGGTAGTATTCTGTAGCTTGACAGAACCCAAGATATTCATGGTCAACAAAAAGTACCCTGAGAAGGTTCTCCTCAGAGGTGACTGCCTTGTAATATTATTTGAAGATGTAAGCCAGATACAAGGGCTATCTCGCTTGAGTGTGGCTATGTCAGAGGGGTTTGTCCTGGGGCTCATCTTTGGAATTCCTCTAAAGATAATCTGGGAGCTTGGGCAAAGATGCCGATGTGGTTGCAATGTGCACTCCAGGCCTGTGTGCTCTGACTCATAATTCATGCCTTGCCTATGACTAGTCAGCATGTTCTGTTAAATTCTTATATGATTTGTTTTCTAATTACATGTAGCTATTTCTCATTATCATTTCCGGTTCTAACTTTGAGACACATCTTTTTCTGGGAAAGACATATCTTTTTCTGGGAAAGGGTTATGAAATTTCTTTTCAGTATTATTTGCAAATGCTAAATGTCAATATCAATAACAAAGCAAAAAGGTACCTCACAAGACCAGACAGGATGAATATATTACTCTAATTTTGTAGACAAGAGACCTCTTAAGCACTTAGTACTTATAAGAAGGAAAATAGACATAAATCATGAATCCAATTTTACTGTACCTTCCTTCCACTTAAAATAATCATTATAGTCCATGTTATTTTGCATAAAGATCTGAAAGCCTGAATAGTAGACAGTGATAAAAAGGAAACTTGGAGAGTTATATTGAGACAAAAGTGGACCCAGCCTACCGTGGTGATGTAGCGAGAGTGGAATTCTGGAGCATCTTTCAGGAACGTGAGGCCAGGGTGTGTATCTACCACATCCTAAAGAAGATTAAAACCAAAACCAAATTAACAAACACACCAAAAAACAAAAAAAAACTAAACGCCAACAGAATTTTTCCTTCCTGTAGAGTAAGTAGCCAGTTGAGCAAACCTGCTATTTTTGGAATACTGAACAATGCACTTAAAATTTAACACTTTATTACATACAAATTTTATTACAAGCATACTTATGTGTGCTTTTTGATATGCTAGTATACTTCAATAAAACATTAAAATTGTAATTTAACTATATTTGGTGGTTTGTGAATCAAATATCTTAGAGATATGTAATTCTAACATGTCAAGGCATGTCAGGGAAATTCACCACACAGATTCTGGGGTAGGGGTGGTTAAGAGAAATTTACACACACAAGTGACAAGACACAAGCCAACTATAATGACATGGGAAATATCTGAGAAAAAAAAAATAGCCATGTAGCCAAGTAGTTTGAAATCTATGTTAAATTGTATGGGTCAGCTAATGTCCATCAGAATAACTGTGTGGACAAATCTATTTTTAATTTAGGATTATAGTTTTATTTTAAAATCTGCTTTTTCTCATGGAAGACTATTAGAATTTTAAAACCCTGAAATACCATTTTTCTTTTCTTTTTTCTTTTTAATGTTTGTTTATTTTTGAGTGAGAGACAGAGCATGAGCGGGGGAGGGGCAGAGAGAGAGAGGGAGACACAGAATCTGAAGGAGGCTCCAGGCTCTGGGCTGTCAGCACAGAGTTTGATGTAGGGCCCGGACTCATGAACTGCGAGATCATGACCTGAGTTGAAGTTGGACACTTAACCGACTGAGTCACCCAGGCGACCCAACCATTTTTATTTTCTAATTAGATTTTAAAGCACTTTGAATAAACCTGGAAAACCTATTGGAGATGATTATTGTTAATTTAATAACCAGAGGCAACAGCAATGCCAACATAGATATAATCTATTAATTGGTTATAAATGGACAGACATCAATTATTATCTCTTTTCTTCGATTCTTCAGAATGGTTAGCTATACATACCTACCAACACAGTCTCAAAGCAATGGACCTTACTATTTAACTTTTTATTTGGAAATAATTTTAGAACAAGGGAAAAGTTACAAAAATATTAGAGATTTCTATGCCCTTCTCCCAGCTTTCCATAATGGCAACAACTTACAAACCATAGTATAATGATCAAAACTAGGAAATGAACATCGATACAATACTACACTACAGACATTATTCAAATTTTACCAGCTTTTCCCTTAGTGTTTTTTTCTGTTCCAGGATCCTAGTTTAGTTCTTGTGTCTCATTGTCTCATGGAACTCTGACAGTTCCTCAGTCTTGTATTTTATGATTTTGACATTCTTAATGAGTCCTGGTCAATTATTCTGTAGAATGTCTCTCAACATGGTTTTGTCTGATGTTTTCTCATGATTAGATTAAGATTACACATTTTCAGCAGGTATATGACAGACGTGGTATTGTGTCCTTTTCAGTCATATGAGAGTATGATGTAGATATGTCTTATATCTTGTAGAGTTAATGTTGATCACATTTGGCTGAAATGGTGACTGCTGGGTTTGCTATCTTATTTTCCCTCAATAGTTAATAAATCTTGTAGGGGGAGATACTTGGAGACTCTGCTAATATCCTGTTTCTCTGCAAATTTTTGCCCAGTCATATTAGCAGTCATTTGTAGAACCTATGACATTTATACTGTGGTGTTTATTTTGTATTTTCCTCATTCTTTGTACATTTATTAACTAGAATTCTTTTGTAAGGAAGAGCTATCCCTCCTCTCCCACATATTTATTTGTTCAGTTCATATCAGTATAGATTCATGGGTATTTATTCTATGGGTTACAATCCAACACTATAATTATTTATTTTGTTGCTCAAATTGATATTGCTGTGGCCACTGGGAACTCAATCAGGACATGCCCCATCCTTTTGCAAGCACTTTTATACTTTCTGGTATCACAACATGGTCCAGGCTCATATTATATTTTCCTTGTTACAATCCTGGAATCAACCCTTTTCCCCAAATAGCCCTGGGTCCTTTATTGGGAAATGGTATTTAAAAACCATGTAGAAATCTGGGTGCTAGATGTGCTCATTACTTCTAGGATGTCACTGCTCCTGGACCCTCTTAGCAGGAAGAACTAAGAATATATGTATGTACAGCAGTCCTCCCCTTATCTGCTGGGGAGATGTTCCAAGACTCCCAGGGGCTGCCTGAAATTACAAACAGTAGTGAACCCTATATATACTATGTTTTTTCCTATACATATGATAAAGTTTAATTTATAAATTAGGCCCAGTAAGAGGTTAACAACAATAATGAAATAATTATAACAATATACTGCAATAAAAGTTATGTGAATATGATTTCTCTCTCAAAATATCTCATTGTACTACTCTACTCACCTTTTTACTTGTGATATGAGATGATAAAATGCCTCACGGTGAGATGAAATGAGGTGATTAACTTAGGCATTGTGACGTAGCCTTGGGCCACTACTCACCAACTGACATTATGTCAGGAGGATCATCTGCTTCTAGACTGCAGTTACCTCAATAACTGAATAAATGAAACTGCATATAAAGGGGGAACTCTGTATACTAATCCACGCATACACACTTCTATTTCTTTCTATATTTATCTATTTATGCTAAAAACTATGTAATCATATAGATAATGGGTTCTAACCACAAGGTTCATTCTAACCTTCCCTCTTTCCTTTGTAACTTTAACGGAACGGCCAACCTATATTGCACTGAGAAACAAATTTACTAAAGAGAGTACAGTATTTGTGCATAGTTCTTTTTGTCGTTAGTCATATGGTATCCAATTAAAATACTGTTTTCCAGGGTTACTTAGGTTAGCTCTCTTTCTGTTCTTCCTTCATCCTCTTTGATGTGGTTATAATACAGTTTAGTTCATTTGCTACTGTCTATTACTTTATTCTGAGTTTCTTTCCCACAGTTACAGGTTGATTTTAATTCATTATTTCTTAGAGGGAGAGTATTTGAACATTACTATGGTTCTACAAGTCAAAGCTAACATAGAATTGACATCGTAACAATTTCAAGTTCTCCCACTCATAAAGACCTCTCTCTCCATTTATATAAATCTTATTTCATGTCTCTCAGCAACGTTTTGCTGTTTTTAGTGTATAGGTCTTGCACACCTTTGTCAGATTCATCTCTAAGTATTTAATATTTTTGAGTGGTATTACAAATGGCATTCAATTTCCAATTTCTGTTGCTGGTATATGGAAGGAGAATTGATTTTTGTATTCTGATCATGTCATCTGTAAACTTTCCAAACTCTCTTATTAAATACAGTTTTAGCAGCATCCCACAAACTTTGACATGTTCTCATTCAGTTCAAGATAATTCTTAATTTTCCTTTTGATTTCTTCTCTGACTCATGGGTTATTTAAAAGTGCTAGTTATCGGGGCGCCTGGGTGGCTCAGTCGGTTAAGCGGCCGACTTCGGCTCAGGTCATGATCTCACGGTCCGTGAGTTCGAGCCCCGCGTCGGGCTCTGTGCTGACGGCTCAGAGCCTGGAGCCTGTTTCAGATTCTGTGTCTCCCTCTCTCTGACCCTCCCCCATTCATGCTCTGTCTCTCTCTGTCTCAAAAATAAATAAACGTTAAAAAATTTTAAAAAAAATATAAAAGTGCTAGTTATCAAATATTTGGAGAATTTTCAAAGATCTTTCATGATTTCTAATTTAATCTCATTAAAGTCAAAGAAATCCTTTATTCTGTGATGATTCAGTTTATGAACTAAATTTTGAAAATTTATTGAGATTTCTTCTATGGCCCAGAATATGGTCTATCTTGGTAAATATTCTGTGTACATGTTAAAGGAACGTGTATTCTACTGCTGATTGGTAAAGAGTAATATAAATGTCAATTAGGTCAAGTTGGTTCATAGTATTGTTCAAATGTTCTATATCCTTATTGATTTCTCTCAACTTGTTCATTATTGAGAGCAGCACATGGAAATCTGCAATTATAATTGTGAATGTATCTTTGCAGTTCTATCAGATTTTGCTTCATGCATTTTGAAGGTCTGTTGTAAGGTCCACAAACATTTATTTTTATCTTATTTTTAAAAATTTTGTTACCTAATATTTTTTAATTTTTATTAAATTTATTATTTTTTAATTTACATCCAAATTAGTTAGTATATAGTGCAATAATGATTTCAGGAGTAGAGTTCTTAATCCCCCCCTTCCACAACACCTCCAGTAACCCTGTCTGTTTTCCATATTTAAGAGTCTCTTATGTTTTGTCCCCCTCCCTGTTTTTATATTATTTTTGTTTCCCTTATGTTCATCTGTTTTGTCTCTTAAAGTCCTCATACAAGTCATATGATATTTGTCTTTTTCTGACTAATTTCACTTAGTATCATGCCCTTGAGTTCCATCCACGTAGTTGCAAATGACAAGATTTCATTCTTTTTGATTGCTAAATAATACTCCATTGTATACATCAACCACATCTTCTTTATCCATTCATCCATCGATGGACATTTGGGCTCTTCCCATACTTTGGCTGTTGCTAATAGTACTGCTATAAACATTGGGGTGCTTGTGCCCCTTCAAAACAGCATACCTATATCCTTTGGGTAAATGCCTAGTAGTGCAATTGCTGGCTAGTAGGGTAGTTCCATTTTTAATTTTTGAGGAACCTCCATACTGTTTTCCAGAGTGGCTGCACCAGCTTGCATTCCCACCAACAATGCAAAAGAGATCCTCTTTCTCCACATCCTCGCCAACATCTGTTGTTGCCTGAGTGGTTGATGTTAGCCATTCTGACAGGTGTGAGGTGGTATCTCATTGTGGTTTTGATTTGTATTTCCCTGATGATGAGTGATGTTGAGCATTTTTTCATGTGCTTGTTGGCCATCTGGAGGTCTTCTTTAGATAAGTATCTATTCATGTCTTTTGCCCATTTCTGCACTGGATTATTTGTTTTTTGGGTGTTGACACTGATGAG